TAAGTTGTCAATAAAAAAATTTTTTAATAACTTTATTAACATTTAACCTACATTCCGTGAGAGACATAAAAGTATTTATTCATTTCCGTCCCTACGGCAGATGTGTTCGCCTTCTTTACGAACAATTCATTTGGTATTGTATTGGTATTGTATTAGTTTTATTACAGCATTTGTAGCATGCTTTGATGTGGCGAAACACACATCTCCCGAATATTGTCTTAGCCTTAGTCGTTGTATTCTTTTGCGAAAATAACAAGATAAACTCTTACATCTTTCCGAACCATCAGGATTCAATAAAGTTAACTAGAGCTTTAATTAGAAAGAAATTGTGCTTAATTGTGTGCATAATTAAGATAAATAAAAAAAAAAAAATGTTTTTTGCTTTTCTCTCTTTGATTTGCTCTAAAGCAATACACCGGAATAGTAAAACTAGCAGCAAGAGAGATGGGGACTATATGCACTTTATCAACACGTTTGCAGCGTTTGGAAGGAAGCTTCTGTCACTCCGTAACGTAAAGTCGTGAATTTCTTTATGCTCAATGAGCATTACCTGTCAATCGGCGATATATTCTTGACCACTAGGAAATATTGAATTCTGCTACATACATGCGTATATTCGCGGGTCGCAGAAATTGAGATATCGTATTCAAATACAATAAAAGCGTTGAAAGTTGCTGTACGCGAGTTTTGTATCGAAAGTGGCCCAAATCAGCTCAAAGACTTGCCTACACTTTGTTTCTACAGCAAAAACGTGTTCGTAAACTACAATAAGTGCAACGGTAAACGCTTCAGCGTATATTCTATGTGTTATTCTAACTTTTTTGCCTACCCGAGATTACAACCATATGTCAATGATAAAACTAAACTTCGATACTTAAGATATACGACACAATTTATTTAATTATTCCACGGCGGTAAGGTACTGTTTTGTCATTTATTCACGTGATGATTAGTTCAGCAATACGGCCACAATTATGTCCACATAACTATTATTAAGACTTGATAAAGGCAGGTTAGCTAATAAGAGAGACGGAAAGTTGATGAATTCATATGACTGCGAGTGATCTTAGCCTCATTTTCAATAAGAAGAGAAATAAAAAATTTGAAGACAGCAAAACCCGACCTAAGCATCTTCAAATTCATCGTCAACAACATTATTCCGCTACCTATGATTATGTTTTCCTACTCCGGACGTTATCCATGATTGCGATTGAAGATGTTTTATGAATCAGAACAAAGGATCACAATATGCTCGCTTATCATTGAAACGCGTTCAATCAGTTTAACGACGCGACGGCACTGAGCGCACACTGCAGAAGTCTCTAATTACATTTAAATTAGATTTGTTGCAAAAACGTATGTAGGAAATGTCTATGAATTATTTACGTATTCGTAAAATGTTTGGATTGTTAAGTAAAAAGCTGAGTTATTATTATTATACTATAGATGTAGTTGAGCACATCAGCTCATAAACTACAAACAGGCAGTGCTCGTAAAATTTAAAGACCTATGAAATCAAAGAGAAAAGCACCCAATGTCTCTCGTTAGTCATGAAATTCTACTTTTATTACGCATAAGTTTCATGCGACAATATTTTTGATTGATAAAAATATTCGAAACAGAAGTTAAAACGAATCTTGGATACCCACCTAGCATATGTAAAAAATATAGTAAGTATTTTTGGTAATTGATTATAGGGCGTGTGGTTAATAATTGAAGAAGATTTTCTGTTTAATTAATTTTTGTGATCCAAAGTCAACCTTTGTCCAGAGTTTATTGGAAATTTTCTTCCCTTGAGTTTTTTCCCATTTTTTAATCGATCGTTTATAGGATCACTTAGGTAAGATCTTTCCGTACGTAAGTTAATTAGACTCTGCGATTGTAAGCCCACCAAAATTGCATAACAGATGGCAGGGGCATGAAAGTAGATGTGAATGTAGCTTATCTGTTACAGAGTCACGCGCTGATACGTTATAAGATCCTCATGAGTGTATCTCTACAAGTTGCGAGCGATTTCCCTCCTTATGTATAATATAAGTGGAAGGTATACATTCTCTTAAAAGATCACTTCTCCTGACTTTTTATGCGAATATTTAAAAAACGCCAACTTCGCCATTTTTTCTTTAGTCCTTTTAACCTTTCCTGCCTGTCATACCCATACCCTGTCATAAAGTCAAAAAAAAAAAACAAATAACTGCAACATTTTTTTCAAATTAACTTAGGCTATAATAAGAAAGGTGTCGTTCATGGTTACATCGCAGTTATTTCAAAGATTGCTTCGAATCAATTATGTATTTCTGGCGAATTGAAAGTTTTTATCATCAATTTTCTTCTAATTTGATCGTCTCGATAAAAGCTGGACGGATGGACGGACGAGCGTTGATTATATCCATGCCATAATCAAGATGATAAGCACATCTCGATAAAAG